TCTTAAAGCTTAGCCCTCTCGCTTTTAAAAATGATTGCTTGCCCCTCTCTTCCCCCCCCCCCCCCGAGGCTTTTCTGGCAGCCCTGTTGCCAGGGATCCAGTTTTAGACTGGAAACTCCAGTAGAAAACGGGAGCTGAGTGTCCGGTTAGCAGTGCTGACTGGAAACTAAATGTCTGGTTATAGGAGTAACCACATTAGCCTCCGCTCCTCCCCCTCCCAACACCCACCCCAGAGAGCTGGAAGAGAACCTGTCCCGCTGCTGAGGGAGGAGGGGCAGCTCAGTGCAGAGAGAGACAAAGAGAATGGGCTAGAACCAGGTAGGTACCTGCTCTATGTAGGCAGGGTCGGGGGGATCCTGTTTATCCCCTCCCCGGCCCTGCTGTGTTTGCAGATTACCCCTGGTCCCCCCCTTGCTCCAGGGACTAACCCTAGCTCCTGCCCCACTGTGTTTTTGCCCCCAGACCCTTTTACAATCATTCCCCAGGGGGGCCCACAAATGTTTGGCGTCGCGCTCACAAAAAGTTAATCCGGCCCTGTGACTGATGCGCTGGCTGGTGCCATGGTCTGGGCGGCTGTGGTGCTCCCCCGTCTTCTGCTGCTCTGGGCCCCGGGGCTGTGGCTGCCCTTCAACTCCCCACTGCCCTTTGACTGCTTGCCGCCCCCAAAAGCCACCCGGATGGGGGCACCTGGCTCTTGGGGAGTATCCACCGTGGGCGGCAGGAGCCTGGGGCAGAGTGGGTCTGTTTGGATTGCCATGGGGCATCCTGGACCCTCTGCCTGCTCTGTGCGGTGCAGACAGTGAGTGGGGACTTCTGCGATGCTGCTGGTGGTGGCACTGTCTTCAGAGCTGGGCAGCCAAAGAGCTAGCCAGTCAGGCTAATGCAGTGTGTTTCTCTTGCAGCAACAGTGACACCCAGTGGCAATCAATGGTACTGCACAGAGTATGGTGTTTTGCATGGAGCAACAGTGGCACCTGGTGCACAGTCAAGGTAATGCACAGAGCGTATCAGGGTTCAGTAACAGGGTTCAAAAAGAACTAGATAAATTCATGGAGGGTAGGTTTATCAATGGCTATTAGCCAGGATGAGCAGGGATGGTGTCCCTAGTCTCTGTTTGCCAGACAATGGGAATGGGCAACAGTGGATGGATCACTTGATGATCACCTGTTCTGTTCATTCCCTCTGGAGAACCTGGCATTGGCCCCTGTCAGAAGACAGGATCCTGGGCTACATAAACCTTTCGTCTGACCCAGTATGGCCATTCTTATGTTCTTATGTCTCCCTTGGAGCAGCAGTGATACCCAGTGGCCAGCAGGGGTGGCATCAGCCTCTTCCCATTTGGAAAGGGTGCATAGATCTGCAAATGCCCCTTCGGTTCAGGGAGCTGATATCATCCCACAGCAACTGCAGCCCTTCCCAGGCTGGTCTCTCCATACAGCCTTATGGAAAGTGGGTGCAGCTGCCCTGCCGTCTTCCCTGGAGCTCCTGAGCAAACTTCTCCAGGTCCTAGCTTCCCAATATCCACCAGACTTTGCCTTTTTTCATTGGGCCAACTGGGATGTGGAGGAAGCATGATCTGAGGGCCCCTTTGTTGAGACTCTTTGGGATCCAAAAGCTATCTCACGCTCTCATGCAGTCTCTTTGCGCAGAAGGACTGAGCTGTGGAGATACCTTATGGCTCTCTCCAGCCAATTCTCAGTTCCCTCTCCTGAGCACAGTCCTGTGTAGCACAGATTACAGGAATCTCCACTACCAGGAAAAGCAGGAGAACAAGGGATGAGGAAGGTTAGATGTCCCCCAGACTATCCCTCTCTCAGTGAGAACCTTCTTAGTCTCAGCTTCTCTTGCAGAGATGTAAACTGACGCTCTTCCGCTGCGCGGTGTTTCTCGGGTGGGCTCATTTGAAGAGGCTGTTCCGCAGCATGACCTGGGTTGGCTCCTCACAGCTACAAAGTGAGTCTGGAAGTGCTTGGTAGGTGAATTCTTTGTGCCTTGAGAGTAGTGAATGGTGACTTGAGGGAGACCTTTCTAACCCCACACACTGATTTTCTGCATCCCTCTCGTTAGGCAGTGAAGTCAGAGGCCGTCCCTTCGAGAGGGTCTCAGGCTTTTTTTTTTTGAGTAGTTTTTCAATCTGACCCTTCTCCCCTCCCCAAACCTGACTCAGTGCTGCCTCTGTCTCCTGCCTGTGGGGACTCTGCTCCTCCTGCATGGGAGGGGGGAGGGGGAGTCGGCGTAGCGGCTGTGTTCCTGGCTCCAGGGGTGGCGAGTTGTATGGGCCCGTGGTGCCCAGGCTCCAGCAATATTCAGTGCTTGGGGGCCCAGCTCCACCAATGTTTGGGGCTGGGTTTCTCCCCTGGCCCCACCTGCCACCCCCATGCGCCTCCCACCCCACTTGCTGCCCCTGGTGCCTCCCAGGCAGGGGCGGCTCTAGGTTTTTTGCTGCTCCAAGCACGGCAGGCAGGCTGCCTTTGGTGGCGCACCTACGGGAGGTCCGCCAGTCCCTCGGCTTCGGCATACCCGCCGCTGAATTGCCGCCAAATCCGCAGGACCGGCGGACCTCCTGCAGGCACGCCGCCAAAGGCTGCCTGACTGCTGCCCTCGCAGGGACCGGCAGGACGCCCCCCGCGGCTTGCCGCCCCAGGCACGTGCTTGCAGCGCTGGTGCCTGGAGCTGCCGCTGCTCCTGGGGGCCCGGAGCCTGCAGCTCCACGCTGACTCTGCTCTGCCGGCTTCTGGCATCAACTGCTGCCGCTGGGTCCTAGTGCCCCACCATCCGCTAGTGGCAGGGCACGCTGCCCTGCCCCTGCCCTTCTGCCTCGGACCGTTCCCTTTTCCGGCGGGACCCTCCACCAGCACAGGGGATCCCCCCACCGGTGCTTCTGCCCCACGTTGGGGAAGGGGCAGCCCCATCCCCCACCTCCAGTGAGGCTACAGTGAGGGGCAACAGCAGAGGAGGAGGCGCAAGTGTGATGGCAGCCCCCCCTGGCACCCACCACAGGGGAGGCGAGGGGGCTTCCTGGACCTGAGAGGGGCCCTAGGAGCACATGTGGGGTGAGTGTGCTGCTGAAGGGGACAGGGGGGCCCCTCCCCCAGAGCTCACTGCTGCCAGGGGGCAGAGGGCTGGGGGGAGTCCTCCTCTATGACCCGAGCCCTGGGACAGCCTGTCTGCACCCCAAACTCATCCCCAGCCCTTCCCCACCCCAGAGCCCACATCCCCAACCAGATTCCTCATCCCCCGCACCCCAACTCTCTGCCCTAGCCCTGAGCCTCCTCATGCATCATGAACCCCTCAACCCCACCCCACAGCCCTCACCCCACACCCCAACCCTCTGCCCTAGCCTTGCACCCCCTCCCACCCCCAAACTCCTTCCCAGAGCCTGCACCCCCTTCCCACACACACTCTCCCACCCCCAAACTCCCTCCCAGAGCCTGTACCTCTCACCCCCTCCTACACTCCCAGCCCAGAGCTTGCACCCAAACTCCGTCCCAGACCCTACACCCCAACCCCTTCCCACACACCCTCTCTTGCTCCCAAACTCCCTCACAGAGCCTGCACCCCCACCCCTTGCCCCAGCCCAGAGCCTACACCCAAACTCCATCCCAGAGCCTGCACCCCTCACTCCCTCCTGCACCCCCTGCCCCAGCCTGGACCCTGCACCCAGCACCAAACTCCATCCCAGAACCTGCACCCCAGACCACCTCCCCCAACCAAACTCCCTCCCAGAGACCAACCTGTCACTCCTTCTGCACCCAAACTCCCTCCCAGAGCTTGCACCCCTCCTGCACCCTAATCCCCAGCCCAGGGCCTGCACCCCAGATCTCCACCCCAGACTCCCTCCCAGAGCCTTAGGCAGGTGGGGGGCAGAGTTTGCAGGGGTGGAGTTTGGGGGGAGGCAGGTTCTGGGCACTACCAAAATTTCTACAAACTTGCCACCCCTGCCTGGCTCCTGCCGTCTGTGGTCCCTGGCTGCACTGCAGGTCCTGTAGAGTTAGAAACGCTGTGACTCCTGGACACCCTCTGCAGCCAGCCTAACCCAATCCTGAGATTCTCTAGTTGTTTTCCCACCTGAACTTGACCCCTTGTAGTCAGGTCCCATCCGCTTCGGTCGGGTTGCGGGACTCTGTTCCAGGCTCTCTGCCGATTCATCTCTGCAGGAGTTACATTCCGTTCACAGTTTTGAATTTTTTCTCCACGACTCTCAGACTTCCCGATTTTTGTCTTTTAAATTAAAGCTGAGGTTCTGGAGAACACGATAGTAACTTCAGTGAGGCGCCATAGGTGGCGAGTTATATGGGCCTGTGGTGCCTGGGTCCACCAATATTTGTGGTCAGTCTCTTCCTCAACCCCACCTGCCACCACTGTGTGCCTCCCCTGGAGCATCCCTGCACCCTGGGCAGTGGCTAGCTCTGGGGAAAAGCCGCAGCAAATTCACTTGATCTTTTTTTAAATGCTTCCTTCAAAGCTCTTTTCTAGACTTCTGTTCTGTTCCCTCTGACAGCACCAGAATCCTAAAACTGTGTGTGTGTGTGTGTCAGAATTAACATGTATTCCAAGCTGAAGGGAGCAACTTAGCTGTCTCGACCCCACCAACTTCCCCTGCCCATAACTCTTTGGCTGCACCTAGGGGAAACCAGCATGATGTGAATTCAATCTCCTTTGGAAATCAGCCGCTCAGTAACTTGTGGGTGTCTGATGCTTTATCTAATGTGCACTGTGAACAGATTTAAGGAATGTATCCAGGAGCACTGCCAGCTTTTCCGCCGCCCTAGGGCGGTGGAAGGTCCCGCCTCAAAATGTCGCCCCCCTACAGAGGCAGCGGAAGATCCCGCCGCTGAAAAACCGCCGTGGTCGCTGCCCCCCAAATCGCAGCGTCCTAGGCGACCGCCTAGGTCACCTAATGGGTTGCACTGGCCCTGAATGTATCTAATTTCCCAAGGGCTGTCTTGGGGGAATGGCTGAATCTTTAGCAGTTTTCAGCAAAGGATCTGAAAAGTAACGAGATCCATTGTATTAATTGTATGTCTAGGAAAGACTATCTGCCATTACTGCGACTTGTTGTCTGAAACAGTGAATGAAGATGGCATCTCCCGCCTGTATGAAGGTAAGGAAATACCTGTGTGTGTGTTTGTGCTTCTGTGGGAAGTACGGGGTGCAGCACAGGGCCTGAACACAGGTTTGAGTGTATCCCTTGCTGTCTAAGCACAGTGTTTAAGGAAGAAGGATGGTCTTCATCGAGCTACCACTATATGTGTACGGGAGCAGGGGAATTCCATCCCTAGCTCCTAGTGTATACGAAGCCTTAGAGGTGTGTGGGGAGGAAGGCCTGACAGAAATGAAAAGGGCGGTTGTTGTTCATAGTAGTAGTAGTACCTTCTGTAGGAAAAGATTCATCACCTACCCTCCCTGTAGTGGAGTGATTGCAGGCCAGGGACCTTCACTCAGAGATTGGTTATAAGCTCATAGGAAATCCCATGAGTGCACTTTGGAAACACCTTTCCCTGTGACCTCCTAAGAAATGAAGGCACAGATCCACAAAGGATTTCAGTAGAAATTATGAGCCTAAATCCCTTTGCAGATCTGGGTGTTTGATGAAAAATGTTTGATGATTTAACACCTCTGCTGTTGTCACTTTCCTGTTACATCCCAAGAACAATTGCCCCCACCTGCCTGTGTGTTAGTGTGGGTACGTGTGTGTGTGTACGTGTGTATGCTGGGGCAGAGGGACGTTACACACAGAATGGGGTCTTCTCTCTGTCCAGAGCTATTGTAGGAGTAGCAAGAGTTGTTGTTGTTGTGCCCCTGGAATCTTGGGTAGATAATAACATGTGGCAAATGCCATTCTGAAGTGGAGGTTTCCTAGGCACCAGTTACATCAGCACCATGGGATTTTCAACCTGTTTCCTCTTTGTTTCAGCTTTTCAGGAAGTGCCTTTGAAATCTGACAGGACCACGTGGCACATCCTCAGTACACATTACAAGTGGTTGCAGAAGCTTGGAAATCTTGCGTGGGGTTCTGCATTCAACTAGGGAACCGGAACCGACACAGAAGACCTCTTTGTCCTGCTATGCTACGTACAACAGACGTTTATCAACTCTTTGGAACAGGGGCTGAACGGTGAGGTGGCTATTTGCAGATGACACAAAATTATGTAGGTTAGTCGAGCCTAGAGAAGACTTTGAAGCAGTTGAAAGAGATCTAATAAAGCCATGTGACTGGGCAGCACAATGGCAGATGAAAGTCAGTGCTGACAAATACAGGGTCATACACACGTGAGGCCTGGTGCTACTTCTCCCTGAGGGATTTTATAGCTAACTGGCTGGCTGGGTGTCAATAAAAAGGAGCTCCCCCCCCCTTCATTTATCACAGGAACAAACCGTTTTAAAAAGTTTTTCCCTATGCTTTTGGTGAGGACAATTTGAAGCTGCAGCAAAAGCAGCATCTGTGAGCCACTGGATCATAGAGAGATAAAAAGATTGCTTCTTCCCCTTCTTTTTAACAAATAGAGGCGAAAGGTCTATTAAGCTTTCATTTTCTTAGGACTATTAGATTTAAGTATGGATTTTTCTGTTGCATTATCAGAATGTCTTTGTCTTTAAATATTTGCAACCTGCGTGATGAGACACAGGTACAAGCTCTTGTGTTTGTTTTGGGTCCATAGATTTTATTAAAATAATACATCGCAGGCTGGAGCTGCGGCTTTCTCTATATTTTAAAAACAGATGACTAGGCTAGCCAGTCTTCCATGCACTATAGTCTCTAGGAAACACCCCTTCAGTTTGCTTGTTTTTTTTAAACAGACGACTTTCCTAACTTTTTAAACGCTGTTAAAGTTTTAACCAATGGTGAGATTATATTGAAAGACACTTTATGAAAGGTATAACAAGTATTTTATTCCATTGACTGATTGTAAAAGACAAAACTCATCGCTTTGTGACTGCATGAAGCTCAGAGATAGCCCATCTGAAGAACTCCCCCCACCTCTTGACTTCCCCCCATACTTTTAACACATGCTAAACATGTTTCATTATATTAAATAGTGTTTTTTTTTTAACATTTAACATGAAAATGCAGCATTGACTGAGATGTAACATAGCACGACCTTTTAAAAGGATAATCTGTATGCAGTGAGGCCTATTTGAAGCATTTTTTTTTTAAAGTTTAACATGAAAAAGCAGTATAGACTGAGCTGTACTAAAACAAGGCCCCTCTTAGGGATCTTTTGTAGAAGTTTAGTGAACTAAAAAGGCTTAAGATACTAGCCTATCCTTTTTAAAATAGTGTTTTTAACGTACCAAAACAGCAACTGGGCAAGAATATGAAAACTGGCAACTGAAGGGAGTTTACATATGTGTTTTAACAAAAAACCAAAATTAACCAAAAAATACACAAGATTGCTTTTTAAATTTTGGATTTATACAAAAAACACAAGAAAAAATAGCTTATGTAAAAACGTTAGCTGTTTTTTACCAGAGATCAGGCATCTGCCTCCCCCTCCCCGCCCCCTTCTTCTTTTCTAATGTTTTTTAAAATCTAAACCGAGGACGAACAAATTTTTTAAAAAATGCCACCGCCACAGAGATCAGGCCATGGGTGTAAGAAAGCTCTCTTGAGTTTTAGAGGGAAAGTTGATAACACTTTTAGTGAAACAGTTTTGTAGGCAGCCATTCTGTGTTAGTTGTTCTGCTTTAGCACGGGCAAGCGTTTGTCATTCGGAAACACTTTCACACTTTATGAGGTATTATCTCCCCCATCCTATGGCCTATCAGAAATATTAACAAAAACAAACTTAAAGATACTTTTTAGCAGTGCCTGCAAAGCAACAATTACAATTTTGTTTATCATTATCTTCTCTAAGGCCCTAGAGAATATTTTTTTTTATAAAACACATTTTTGCAAGCTGTAACCTTAGATGCTGTTCAGAATTAAATAATATGAACAGGTAGATGAGAAATCTGAGACGTTGAAATCACAGGTGTCATGATTAAGTCCTAATGCAGAGGGCCTGGGGGGGTGGGGGAATAAAAAGATACAGCCGAAGCGGAGGATGGTATGATTTAAGAGGGGTTCTGGGGCTGCTTTGCAATGGTCCAGATTCCCCAACAGCCTATATCCCTCATACACAAGCGCCAGGGTAGGGTGCGGTAGGGTGCGGTGGGTGAGTCTTTATGAGCGGCCTGCTCCTCTAAGAAACTACTTCTTGTTGTTGACAAACTGTAACCTAACTATATGTATACTATGGAGGCAACCCACTTTTCTTTGGACAAACCCCACACCTCTTGAACTCCATAAAAACATGTTTCACACTATTATTTTCAACTGACATTTTATTTAAAACATGCATTTTTTATTTTGTTTTACAACACGTGTTTTGTTCCCAAAACATGCTCTAACTTTTACTGTTTTTTCTTAGCAAGATTTTGTAATTTGCTGAAGGAGGAAGAGGCTCAACATTTAGCATTAAACATTTATCTGTCAGTTTGATCATTTAATCAAAAATGCTATTTGGATCCTCGGCCTCTGTTACTTTGTCCACCAATTCTGCCCCTAGGGCTAAATGTTCCTGGATTAAACACAGGCACTGCAGCACGTATCCCAACAGGATAATTTTATTTAACACACGCTCCATATACAAACTACCCGCTAATTTCTTTAATTTTACAGTTCACATCATCTAAAGACCAGTACCTGCAGTCGTGATGCCTCTGACCGGGGGCATCTGTGGTGCACCCAGGACAATCCTCATTTTGTTTCTCTCTCAGGCAGTGCTTGATGATTCCGTGCACAGGTGCTCGCACAGTTGCATCCATCACCGCTTTATGGTTATGAACTCACACAGGTTTAATACCAAATTTCTCCCTCAATTTTAGATAGTATAGGCCTATAGAATAAGCATCCCCCTCTGTTTCAGCATTCTGTTGAGCATCTGGTTTTGGGTATGGGCAAAACCAGATAGGGCTCAATCCGCTTGTCCCTTCGGAGCTGTCGGTGTCCAGAACCTCCAAGTCCTCTGAAGAACCATCGCTCAGCTGCTGAAAAATGTACAGTAAGAAATACGTAGAAGGCATCTTTGTACTTTTTCATAACATGATTTTAAAACCTTTTACACTGTGTGTCAAGCGACTCCTTCCACATGCAGCTTTTAAAAACAACAATAAATGCAATCTCTGTGCAGGCTTGATCCAAAAGGCTCTAGCCAACTGAGCACTGGTGACCGGGTCCCTGCCAAACCAATCCTTGAACGTTCTTGCATACAATGTATCAGGGCCTCGTCTCCGTACAGCCCTTTGTTTGAATTGTTTGGGTTCTCCTGCCCAGGATCCGGAGTCTCAAACAAATCTTGGCCCAGCGGTCTGGCCTCATGTTTCGCCACCACATTGTTCTTGAGGGTACAGCCATCATTAGCGATCCCTGTTTCCCCACTCCCATGACCCGTCTCAAACACTGTTTGCCAAAACAGTATGTTTGTTTCTTCAGGTCCCATAGCAGCACCCGTATAACACCTCTTCATGAAAGGCTTGACGGCCAGTGTTGGCCAAGGCCTTCTAGGTTCAGCCATCTTTAATCATCAGACCCATTTAACTAGAAGCTCCTCCTTACTTTAGCCAGGCTGTATGATATTCTTAACCAATAATTTAGGGCTGACGTTGCTCTCCCTCCCTGTAGACGAGCGGACTCACCCCTGCAGCACCTCCTGCTGGTGACTTCCGGAAATTAGGTCTTCCAGCATCCTGGAGCGCCCTCTGCAGGCTGGTGTCCCACCCTGGACCCTGGTGCCCTTGTACCTGGGGTGCTGCTCCCTGGCAGTAACCCCTCAGTCTTAGGGTCTCCCCTCCCTGGGGAACCCCCACCCACTACCCCCACTTCACCTCAGTTTTGGCTACTGCCCAGTCTCCATCTAGCCCCATTCACTAGAGCAGACTGCAGTATCATCCACTCATCACAGGCAAAGGGGTTTGGATCTGCTGCCTCTGCCTACCCGTGGGCTGCCCCCTGCAACCCTACACCTACTAGGCCTTGCCAGGCCTGCAGCCTGGGGCTTTCCTAGGCCAGAGCTCCCAGCTCCTCTGGCCCTTCCCCAGCCCTGCTCCCAATCTAGGTGTCTGGTAAAGGTCCCTGCAGCCAGGCCCTTCTCTCTCTGAACCCAGAGAGAGACTGTCTCCCTTAGCCCCTGGCATCAACCTGTATTAGATCAG